TTCAAGTTATTGACCATTCAGGTGATGTTGAATTTTTTAGTTTTATGATGTTTGGGGGTGTTTGGGTTGTAAGTAGGGATCCTATGTTGTGTGGGTCGGCTGAAATGGACGTTGGGAGACATTCAACATTCGTGATCCATAGCGGAAAACGTCGGATGATGATTGCCATGAGTACGACTCCGGTATCGACATGTTTGGTGCGGCTTCGAGGCCGAAGCTTTCCGAACCGGAGGAAAATGATGTTGAATAGTTATATTATTATTTTAGTATTTAAATATTTAGTAGCTTTCTTGTTGATCAAATTAGGTTTAGGATTATGGGTCTTATATAAAGGACTCTCTCGATTTTCCTTAGGTAAATTTTGAGATTGAATAAGGTATTGTGAATTTTGCGTGTTTTATGAGACAGTCTCGTTTATCCTGCTCACTCGTACGCTTTCCCTACATGTGTGAATTTTGTTGTCAAGGGACACTCCTTGGTTGATCACAATAGTAGTGTGACAAGAGCCCCAATATATTGGTCATACAACTTTGCAAATGTTGCACTTGGTAGACCTGATGCCCTTTAAATTAGTGAATTCAAAAAAAAAAAAAAATGCTACATCTAAAGATGATTTTAATTTGTGAAATAATTTAAGAGACTAGTTCTGCCACATATATATCCATTTCATGCCTATTATTTTGTCTATTAATTGCCCCACAAAGAACAAGAATGGAAATGGCCAAGATAAGCCCTAATTAATAAGCCAATTACACACAAGCCAAAACCTAATTCCAATCAACAAATTAGGGACAAAAGAAAATTGCAAAAAAAAAAAAAGTAATAAAAACATAGATATATAATAAATAAAACTGCATATATGCATGCTTATTATTCCTCCTCAACCAAAACCATTCTACACAATGGACTTGGTCCAAGCTTTTTCCTCCTCATTGAACTTCTTCTCCTAATAATCTCCATCTCATTCTTTCTCCTCACTTGCATCATGGCTTCCTCCTCAACCACAAACCTTCTCATCAATACATCATCGGTCAACGACTTCCCTCTAAAAATCCTTCTCCCCTCCACACTCATTCTTGCACTCGAGGTGCTTCTAATTTCTTGAGACCCGTGAAGGGGAGCCTTTGATCTCGGGTAGCTATAGCTCCTCCTTGGAGGGACGTGATCGACTTGAAAAACCTCGGTGTAAGAAGAGATTGGCGCGCATAAGCACACACGAGTGAAAGATGTTGCAACCCTCAACGACGTGCATTTTCGTAGCTTATTATTATTTCTTGGGGGGTGTTCATTATTGTCGGTCCTTGTAGAAAATGTTTTCCAAACGTTGTCGTTTTTGGAGGGAATTCGGGGAGATATCGGGAGGGCTTTCCACAATGTTGCCATCTCTAGTGCTCTTTGGTACCAAGGCTTCCTACACACATGTAACAACAACATGGGCATACATGCAAAGTGTGTGCTTCATTAATCACTCAACTATTTGGAATTAAAGCCATTAATTTTTACATATGTATTAGTTCAATTTAGAAAGAGAGGTAACATTTTTCTCTTTTTTTTTTTTTGGTTTGGATGGAGCTATTATTACACTTTTATTGAATTTATGGCAGCAAAACAAACAAGATGACAGGGCACTAATCAATTTTATTATTTTTTTCATTATTTCAGTAATTTCGGTGAACTTTGCTAGTGAAGAGATTCAATCAAAGGAATATGAACTGGGCTTCATATTGGACTGTCATAGGGCCTACTTTTTCTGGACAAGCCCAATCGCCTTATCACATTTAGTTTATTGCATTCTAAAATTCCCTATATAGATAGTATGATAAAGAAACTGAATAGACTTGGAGTAAAATCATGATCAATAATAAATTTCTTCTCCCCATATTCATTAAATTGTCACCAAAAGTCAAAACAGTGTCTTTCAGTTGATATAAGAAAGTATTGACTTTATTTTCTTCAGTTCACCCACTAAATAGGGATAACATATATAATTACGGAAAATGCTAAGTTCCAATCACGGGATGGCTCAGTCAGTGTTTTTCACTATTGAATACACATGTAGATTATGTTGTCCAGTGTTTTGCACCATTGAATACACATGTCGATTATGTTGTGTAGATAATATACGGTTACAAACACTGACGGAACCATTACGTCAACGGGACTGTAGTCATTCCCTAAAATTACAAGGATGAGTTAACACTAACTTTAATAGGATTAGTTATTCTAAGCAAATCTAACCATGAACATTATATTTTAAACATATATTCATGTTTTCATATAGAAATACACAATTTTGCCAAGGAACTAAATGGTTGGTTTCCATGTATGATAGGCCAAGATTTCTTGAAAGAGTATTTCAATGTAAAACTATAATTAAACCCTTCACAAAAGGGGTGGGGGGTAAGAGGGCCAAAAGAAGAAATTCAACACAATCTCATGATGTAAAATTGCCATAGTAAAATCCTAATCATCAGAGTGTATGTGTTTGTGTTTGTGTGTGTGTGTGTGTGTATGTGTGTGTGTGTGTGTGTGTGTGTGTGTGAGAGAGAGAGAGAGAGAGAGAGAGAGAGAGAGAGAGAGAGAGAGAGAGAGAGAGTACCTCTTGTGGGAGTTGTTGGGATCTTGCATGAACAGAGGCAAGAGAGTAGTGGGGAGTATGAGAGAGATGAAGATATGAGGAGCTAAGATTGCTCATTTGTTATGGTAAAAAAGAAAGAAAGAAAGAAAGAAAGAAAGAATGATGGAACTTTTTTTGTGACTGAAATATTGGTTGGCAATGGCCATCTTTTCTGTTTTTTATATGCTCTCCTTTAATGGCAGCTCCACTTTTGCTTTGGCAGGAATGATTCCAACTGATTGGGGAAAAAAGGATGTGATTCAAAATTTCAAACCCCAAGTAAAAATCTCCTCTTTTGGGTAATCAAGTTTTCAAATAGGCTTTGAAAATATATACCTAAACCTTTATTTATTTTTTTTTAATACAAATGCTTAAATCAGATTTTTTTTTTTTTTTTTCGAAACGATAGTAAAAACCTCTATAAAAACAATAATACTTAAATAAACTAATAAATATCTAACGATGCATTCATTCGATTTTTTTTTTTCTTATATTGGATAAAGACGTATTGTATGTTATAAATACACTCAATATCTAATATGTCTAGTTATTTTTCAAAACACAAATCTCCCCTGTATACTAATACAGAATACGCTGAGCCTACGTGGCTGCTTCTGGTGCTTCGGAATCATATGTGGCAAAATTACATGCTTCGAGGCTTGGGTAAATTTTAATTTAATTCTAAACAAAAAAATAATTACGTTCGGATTACCATAAATATATTGATTATTTATGGTCATGTTACATGTATTAATTGCATTTTAATATCATTCTTTATTATAATTATTGAATTGTATATATATTTTAAAAGTTAATAACTTTTGTATTTTTTATCAGTTTTACATATGTAATATATCAAATTAATCTTCTTTTGATGAGCTTCGATTTAACATCCATATTGTATGTAAAAAAAATAATTTATATTTATCTTTATAACAATAATAAAATTATTTTTAATATTAATTAGAAAAATAAAATTATTTAACAACTAATATATTTATATTTCAAGTAGTTATATGATATAAATTATAAAAACTAATATAATATAACACATGTAAGTCATAAGTAACACATACCATTCTAAATTATATTAATATATTTTTTTTGTAGAAAAGTAAACTAAATTTAATATAGTTTTCTCATTAATTTTAAAATTTAAGAATAATTTTTTAACAAGCAGCCGTGTAATACACGGGTGTTGTACTAGTCATTACTGATTCACAAATCCCTCCGAACCGGCTTGTATATCGGTGATCATGGGCGGAGCCACCTTTTGGCAAGGGTGGGTTCCAGCCCCATGTCCATTAAAAAAAAAGTTAACTTTAATTTTTTAAAAGTTTTATACATAGCTCTATGTAATTTTTTGTTGAGGAAATAGCTATTTTCACCCCGTTCTGAAGTCATACTAAGTTTTTCACACCACCCAATAAAAAGCTAAGTTTTTCACCCCAAAAAGTACGAACACCACCCAATAAAAACCTAAGTTTTTCACCCCAAAAAGTACGAAGACATATGCAATGAACTATGCGCTAAATAGGTGACATGTATGAGCATGGGCGAGAAAATTATGAGTTAAATTATGCGACTGTTCTACGATGAATATTCGGAGATTCGATGTACGATTCGGTCAATCGCGTTCCGCCGCCTATTAAATAATTATTTTTGTTAGGCGAATGAACTGCGACTATTAGTCGAAAAATTATTCTGCGACATGCCAACGTCGCATATTATTCGCGGAATTAGTGCATAATAAGTTTTTTTCGTATTTCTTTCATCTTTCAGTTATGCGAGGCGGTATGCGAATTACCGCATATTGCTAGCATACCCCTTCGCACTTCTACTCGAAAGTGTATTTTTTTTATTTATTTTTTTATTTCTTTCATCTTTCAGTTATTTCAGTTATGCGATGGAATATGCGAATTGCCGCATATTACTCACATACCACCTTCGCACTTCTACTCGAAAATTTATTTTTTATTTCTTTCATCTTTCTGTTATTTCAGTTATGCGATGAGGTATCGAATCCGCATATTGCTCGCATACCCCCTTCGTACTTCTACTCGAAAGTGTATTTGTTATTTATTTTTTTATTTCTTTCATCTTTCAGTTAGTTCAGTTATGCGATGGGGTATGCGAATTGCCGCATATTACTCGCATACCACCTTCGCACATCTACTCGAAAGTTTATTTTTTATTTCTTTCATCTTTTTGTTATTTCTGTTATGCGATGGGGTATGCGAATTCCGCATATTGCTCGCATACCCCTTTCGCGCTTCTACTCGAAAGTTTATTTTTAAAATTTAAATTTTTGAATGGTTTAGAAACCGCTGGCAGTTGGAACGTTACGGCCGATTTCGAGGCGTCTTATCCGCTTTTCAAAATGCCTGGGCAGTAAAAGCGTGCACGCGAATTGTTTCATCCGTCTATATAAAGCGTGTAATCTCCGATCCATATAATGCCCTCCGTTTTTTCCTTTTCTTGTATATGAGAAGCAGTTCGCCGGAGATAAACCAGAGTTACAAAAATTCTTTCTTTCGACCCGTGAGGCAATTCTTTAACATTACTGTGTCCGAATTAAGAACTCCTAACCTTTCGAATTCGTCGGAGGAAAAAATTCAACGAGCATAAATTCCGCTATCCAACTTTATTAACTTGGCCCCGACATGAAACATATATGCCGAGACAGCAACTATGAAGATCAAACTTCCGGGCCCGGGTATTGCCGTATCAACTGTGAGAAGGTTGAAGGTCGGAACGTTGCGCGTCGGCGGCCGGGGCGTAACGGCCCGGCCCTCTGTCAGAGGCAATGCTGGCCTCAACCTCTCTAGGTTGTGGTCGGCCAGGTTTTCCTGACAGGGGAAGGTGTTTGGTCGACGGGGATCTCTTCCCGGAACCTAGCAGAGCCCATCGGTTCAGAGCATGGTGGTCGGGGCCGATCTCATGCTGGAGTTCTACATGGAACTCCACAAACAAGCTCCACCTACAGCTCATCTTCCTAGCGTCTGAGTGCTGTGGTAGGCTGGTAGCTCGTCGGCTCCCTCGTCCTAGCTTTTTTTAGGCTTGGCTGGTCCTTCGATTTTTTTTTTTTAACTTTGTAATCGGCTGGGGTTGAAGCGACTGTAAAAGTAGTAGTGTAGGGATTTCTATTCGATCTTTTATTCTGCGAAATACAATCTTCGCATATTATTCGCCTAGTTGGTGCATAATAAGACAAAGAAACTATTTTTGGAAATTTTTTCTTCTGCGACACACATTGCGAAACACTCGTGTAGTATAAATGAAGAATTTTTTTTTTAATTTCTTTTTGAAATTTTCTATTCTGTGAAATACAAACGTCGCGTATTATTCGCCTAGTGGTTGCATAATGAATTCTTTTTTAGGCGAAATGAACCTGAGACTATTAGTCGAAAATATTACGCACAATAAACGCATAACACGTAGTTTAGGCCAATGAATCTGCGACAATTAGTCGAAATACAAACGTCGCCTAAACAATTAGTCGAAACAAATTCGCATACAAACCGCACAACATTCGTAGTATAATCGAAGAGTTTATTTAAACAAAAATTGTTTTTGGAGATTTTCTATTCTGCGACACACATAATTGCGATAAATAAACGTCGCATAATGCATTCGCATGTCAACTGGAGGATATTCGCATACCCACTTTTTGTGTAAAACAATTATATTAAACAATTATTTTGGTCTGATTCTTTATGCGACCATCTCACGACGGATATGCGTTAATTCGCAGGTCTACCGCAGG